ATATTATGTGCAGGTGCAAGAACGTTATCAAAAAATGATTTTGGAGTATGTGTATGGGGTACATATTTACATATGTAAGTACATACATACATACATTCAGCTGCCATCAACAAATTATGTTTATTTATTTTTAATGATTTTCATTTAAAATATAATTCAATCTGGAACAGAAACCACAATAATAAAAGTTTAAAAGTTTGCACAAATTGCAAAAAAATGAATCAACCTTCAAGAAATAGTCATCCAAATTTTTTATTTTAATATTTAATATATTTTCGGGTATGCAGTATTGTAGTCCATTCAATTATAGTATAAGAGAGTGCAAGTTTCAAGTTGTTAAAAATTACCGTTGATTTTTTAGATTTTTTTGTTGGGGTGTTGCTGTTTATTTTTCATACAAAAAAAAATTGGTTCATGTGTTATATGGAAGAAAATGCGAACACCCTCCACAAAAAAAAATTTCTAAGAAATCAACGGTAATTTTTAACGACTAGAAATTTGGACTTTAGTGTACTTGATTGAATGGACTACAAAGCTGCATACCCGAAAATTTTCTAAATATTCTAACTAAAAATTTTTAAATTTTTATAACAATTTTTTGAAGTTTGATTAATTATTTTGCAAATTGTGCAAGCTTTTAAACTTTTATTATTGTGGTTTCTGTTATAGATTGAATTATATTTTAAAGGAAATTATTAAAAATAAATAAATAAACATAATTTGTAAACAATATCATTTTGACTTTCGTTGCTAATTAGTTGATCGCATCTGTATGTACTACAAGCATCCATATGCGCATGCCTGGGAAATGGATTTGCATTTGACTCCAGAACTATTATTCACAAATAATATCTACGAGTATTGCAGTAAAAGTTAAAAACAACTTTGAAGTTAACAAGTGCATTGCTTTGTACATTTTTTTTGTTAATGCGTCCATCTTTAAAATGAGTATGTGAAAAAACCAAGTTTATCATTTTTTTTAACTAACATGCATTTTTACTATTTACATAATATAATACTCGTACAAGAAGCGAACTTGAACATATGCTTTTTAAGTTTTTAGCAACATTAACTACTGAATAAATTATATTTAACAAATGGTCATGCAGAAATGCAAATCAGCAATTCTAACTAATATAAAAGTACATTTAATATAATTTAACTATATTAATTTATTTAATTTTATAAAAAAAATATACATGAATACGTTTCTGCATTCACATGCAACCTAGCAACACATAGCCAGACACTTGCAACAAATATACCATTATCATAACAGAAATTTACATTTTTCTCTGTTAACTCTTCTTGAAATGTTAATCGCGCTGTGGTGATATTCCATGGATTTATTTTTCAGCCAAACAATTTTACGTTCCAAAAATTTGCACCTTCTCTATCTATCTAAGTTCTCTGACTCTATTGGCAAGACTAGCTTATGAATGTGCTGGATTTAGAAATACTGCATTATCTGCATCTAAAAATTTTCCAAGCCACCAACCGTAGCCAAAAGTGGAGGAAAAAGCTTTTCACGAAGTTCTTGCAATTGCATTCCACTTTGGAGGGGAATTTTCCTGGCTGAATAAAAGCTACTTGGATAGATACATATTCACTTCAGAGCGTTTCGAGGGAAGTGGTTGTTTTCGTAAAATGCGCCGGAAGTATAAATACGATTATAACCTCCAAATTTTTTATGTGCCAGCAGTGGTAGTGTAACTTTTTACAGAAAGTCAATACTCCACCGGAAGGATTGAAATACTCTCAAACTTAAAGGTCTCGAATTGCAACACAATCATCCATACAAAGAACTTTGCATTTAAAGAATTCGATTTATGGAATTTGAATTTACTATTATTATAACTTGTTTTTTGTTAAAATATACCCTTTGGCTTCACACGGTTCAATATTTGTTGCGAAATCGGAGGAGAAATTTAAGCAATTTTCCTCTCTCAAGCCACAGAATTAACATCAACAAGAATTAACGACTCGTGTTTGGCCTTTCTTATCTCGGGCCCAGTTCGATGCTACGATGTTACAATCGCACATAGGGGTATTTAGCCGATTTAAGTGTGCAAAATTATTTGTATGGAAATTTTAACTCAAAATGTTTAGAAAATACCTGTTAGGACATTTAAAATTGTAAATGTTTATGATCAAGTAAATAGGGGAAGGAAAGTTTCACATAGACAGACTCTATTTTGTCGTGGACAGTAGCAATCGCCCACATCGCCCCCTCTAGGGCTGCGAAAAGTAAAATTTAGGTCAAAATACATTACCTCTAACGAGAAATTTGAAAAGAAGTTTTGCAAAAAGGGTTTTTTTTGTTCATTTTAATCTTCAATCATAATATATTTTTTAGATTTTCACAAGAATTGATTATAAGGCTGGCAAATCTAAGCAAATGCTTGAAGCAGCTTATTTGCACGCATCTGGAGATTTTGTTGGTTTTTGCATATATTCGACTTACGTGCTTACTTTTGCATACTCGACAACATTCAAAACATTTTCGCGGAAAAAGGGGATAGAAATGCGTGAAATAAGGTGAATTAATACATATGATTTTATGCTTCTGCTGCCACCTTGTAGGAATTCGACTTATTACTGCTAGAGCTTGAAGACATCGGAACAATATTATTCGTACTATAGTGAAACCTCTCCTAACCGACATCTCTATTAGACGGACATCTCCCTTGGGCGGACATTTTTTCCTATACCAAGTTTTCAGTATAAATTTCGGAACAATTTACTCTCTCTTAAGCGGACACTCTCTTGGCCGTACGCGGACAGTTATTTTGCATAAAATTGACACAAAAAACTCTATTGAGCGGACGCGAACCTCTTATCAACGGACATTAAGATTTCTTTTCATAACAAATCAAACAAGAACCTCCGTTGAGTGAACTCGAACTCCTCATAGGCGGACTACTAAATGTTTGGTTTGCGGCGTTGTTTTATGTTCGTTATTTGAATTATCAGAAACCCTTGGAGAATCCAGTTCCAATTCTGATGAATTTATAACAATAGATAATAATAAATACATGGACCGAAAATTTAGATTTCTGGTTGGATTTTGTTACTGATAAAAACATGAAAACTATTGATGAAAAAGGTACTGACACTGAAAAAAATTAAAAATAAAACTTACGTCAATCGACAATTTCCCATTTTTTTATAATGAATATATGGTTTTATGTAGTTTATGGACTGAAATGTAATATTTATTTTTATTTTGTTATTACTTAATATGTGATTACGCACATAAATGAAATATGCACTTTTGAAAAATACATGCACATTTCTGTTTGAACGATGTAATATCAATATCTTTTATTCAAATAAGAATTAGTGACTTTTCAATTAATGAAAACATTAAAAAGTTCTAAAACAATCTTCCCTTCCGTTGAGCGGACACCTCTCTTGGGCGGACAAAAAATTACTAACGGCGAATGTCCGCCCAAGGGAGGTTTCACTGTATTCGTATAGTGGTAGTTAAATTTGAAATGCACTACCACTAAAGCCCTAGTGGTAGTGACAATTTCGATTCAGTGCAGCGTGCCCAAACGTGGTGCTCTCGCTCTGTGGGAAATGATTATTTGCATATAATTTCCTTTGCTGTTGTTCTCGGATACTTATCGCTGGGAGAGATAAATAAGTGTTAAAGTGTGGTTACCCACGAACGTCTACGTAGCGTACCGTAGAAGTACGCCGTAGAAACATATGAAATAGAGAGAGAAAGAGAAGCAACGTCAACGTCACGGTCATGCGCTGGCACGGTTGGCTTTATTTGTGACCTGATTTGTAGAGCGAATTAATTTGACTTGAGTTGACTTTTCGAAAAATGACTTCAGACCTTTTTTGTAGAGCGTTTAATTCTCCACAAAAATGTTCCAGTACCGTAAAGTGTATCGTTCGTTAAATATAAAAATCAGAAAAAAAAGTGTTATTCTTATGGAAAATCGAAAAGTGCAACGCGGAAGTTTTTAATATTAATATTAAGGGAACATATTTTCTGAGACTTATTTTAATCTAAACGAAACTTTTGGGCATGGTTCCGAAGGGAAAAAATTAAATTTTTTTCTGAATCACCATAATGTACGTCCAGTTATATTTTTCTATCTTTCAATAACCCAAAAGGAAGGTATTTAAAAATAAAAGTCCCTGCCAAAAATGTCTTTACCTAAGGGAAATTTAAGCGATTGATATATAACCCACAGCAGAAAACACAAAAAGATCGCACAGAGAGATTTGGCACGGTGAGAAACACATTTTGCTTGAGAGGTTTGTGTTTGTGTCAGTTAAAAATGCAATAAAAACAAGTGGACAGGATTACTTTCGATCTCTGGTTAAAATATTTCTTATAACATTTAAAATTTTTTTGTGAATTTCTTTTCGTTTTGGGGAGAACCATTACAATTGTTTTCAACTAGGTTTTATTATGTAACATTTATTAACTGAAACAGAAGAACCGATTTTCCTCAAAATTACTACCTTTTTGCACTTTGCCCTAAAAATTTTAATACAATCAAATAAAAAATCGGACTCCAATGATCTCTTGCTAATTTTATAAGCCTTCATTTAAAAAGGTTTAATCAAATTGGTGGAATCATGAAAGCTCCAGTGAATTATGGGCAGTAAATTCCAGTTTTGAACCACTGTGCGTTGGTCGACTGCGGCTTATTGGCATAGATCTGTGACTTCGGGAAACCCCATAAGAAAAAGTCTATCGGGGACAAATTGCACGATCTTGGTTAGCAATTCCACGTCACCTTCAGGAAACTGAAAATTACTTTACCAAAATAATGAGCCATATGAATAAAACTAGGCAATTGCTTTTTCTTAAATTTCAGACTTTTTACTTAAAATTACTTGAATAAATCGAGTAAAAGGTCTGAAATTTTTATCGTTGACATGAAAATAATTTATTTACAAAATATTTATTTAATGTCCATTCAAATCGCTTTTTACAAAAAACAACAACACAACAGTTTTACTATTTATCCTGATTATTTATAATCTCAGTGCGGTATTATATATTCTACATAATTTTTATATAAACGGTTATTCATTAAATACTTAATAGTTATGTATGTATATACAAACACCAATGCATATCGATTCACAAATTTTATGTATCCTCAATGCCCTCCACCGCACTGCCAGCATCAATCGAGTCATTACATATCGAAAGATCAGATTCTGAGCTTGAATGACTGCCACGACTGAGTGAGTGAAATTCTTCTCCCTGCTTGCTGAGCTCATCAACATCCTCCGCACCACAACTGATTGGCGAAGATGTTCGAACATCGTTGCTTGTATTTGTTTTATTGATAGTTGGCATGCTATTGCTAACTGCTATGGAATTGCCCGCTACAACGACGCCAGCGTTCGTCGGCTCAACAGCGCCTGGTAATTGGCTTTGGCGTAGCAGTGCAAGGCGTTGTTGTGTGATTTCTAGATGATGTTTGCGCCATTTAATGCGTCTATTTTGGAACCACACCTTCACTTGTGCTTCGGTTAATTGCAACGTGTGCGCTAAGTATAATCGCTCCGGTCCCACCATATATTGTTGTCGTTCAAATTCGGCCTCTAATCGTTCCAGCTGCTCGGGCGTGAAGATGGTGCGTACGCGTTTATTTTTCAGCGATGATTTTTTCGAGTTGCTCTCTGCAAAGAAACGA